GATACCAAAAGATAAAAAAAAAAATCGGCAAAATAGAGAAATAGTCGAGAAAAAAAAAATTCCAAAAGAGTGTACGTCATTAGAATTTAATTCCCGAAAAGGAAATGAAGGAAATAAAAGAAGAAGGATCGGTATAATTGAAATCGAAGTCGCGCCCACGTCGAGTGTCAGATCGTAGTATTTCGTCGAGATGAACGCATGCGCGGGTTTAAAAAGACCATTACAAACGACACCGACATTAAAAGCCGAAGGTCCACGTACTCATCGGGGAAGAGGGGGTCTAGTCTCACCTGTGTAAGGTATAAAAAATTTTCCCCTTCTCGTGGGTAGATGGAGAAGTGGTAGATGCGGGTGGGGAAATACGAGGCGCAACAGTCAGTCGTGCCCGTGGCAGCAGTGCGCCTTCTCCAAAGCCCACGGCACCATTCAATCACCAAATCCACCACCAATTTACCTATTTATTTATTATTCGTCACCTGCGTGGTCGATCAAGGACAATGGTGGGGGATTAACCCTGTACTTGTCGATATGAATAATAAACAAACCTACTGCTCCATAAATCCACCTGTTACTGTCGAATAACAGCGAGTGTTCGATCCCGCGTGCTCTCGACAACAACTCATTCCCATCACCAAATAAATTCATCAAAGTCCTCTTTTTATTCAATTCTATTCACCACTCAGCTATTTTACGTCATAATTGTGCATTGGAGGCGTCAGTTGCGTTGGATTAATGTCTTCCCGACAGTGGGAAGACTTGTGATTCCTCGAGTGAAAGGAATTATTTAACAGTGTTATTTTGAATTTCGATACGATACGATCCTGTTGGTTTATCAACACATTCAACATCTTCATGGTGAATGATTTTTATTTTACTCGCGTGGGTTTTAATTAATCAATTGTTCAATCTAGAAATTTGAAAATTCTCTGTTTGTTCAGTGAGTGGAACAGTCTTGAGTGACGGATTTGGTATTTTTATTCTATTTTCTTTCTGGATTATTCCGGCGGATGATTTTTCTATTTTAGTGGTGATTCAAGTGGTACAGTGTTATCTCCGTGGAATGAACACAGTGTGGTAATCACATGTAAAGAACGGGAATTTTTTTGAGAGAGGTGTATGGGTTGGGTACTGTGGAATATTTAACGGTTGTCGTTGGAGGTAATTCGAGGGCAATGTCGATGTATCGATTTAGCAAAAGTGGTCGGTTGTTCGTGCAGGGCACGCGGGAGGAGGACGACCGCGACAACGTCGCCGGGTCGAGTCCTGCCGGCACCGATCTCCAGGCAATCTACACCAAGCGACGACTTTCCACTGAAGTTTTAGGTATTTTTTACATGGAATTTTCAACCGAGTGTGGAAAGATTTTTTTTACTGTCTACCGTGGGAGAAGTCTTGAAAAATTAACGCCTTGCGTTTTCGGCTTTTCGACGTTGTGCAGTTAAAATTATATCGATTGATTGATTGAAATGTTAATTATTCGATCGAGATCGAACGATAATTGAGGGAAATTCTATTTGAATTCTACCTAGGGAAAGGGCTTGAAATAACGTAAAATCATGAAGAGAGAAATTATAAAGCTGGAACGGTAATTTTTACCGACGTATTTAACGTACC